CATTCCTTCCAACAGATTTATCTTTGTTTTTCTGCTTATAAAAGTGAAATAAACTTGTTTCTAAAATCTCAGGTAGAAATATGGTATAAAAGTAGATGTTCCGCATAATTCCATCTGAGAATAAAGCACTGATACATATATTTCTTCACAATTTTTTGAGTTTCTGTTCATCTGTATGTTATTACTTATTTTTATAATGATAGGATTATATGATACATTATTTTGTGGTTTGCTTTACTTAATAAATGTATCTTGGAGATCTTTACATGTCCAGTACATACAGATCTAACTCACTCTTTAATGGCCTTATAAGTATTTAATTGTATTGATACACCATATTTCTTTAAACTGCTGAACCATGGGAGTTGGTTGCAATTTTTTTGCTGTGATGAGCATGTACTTCCTTATATACACATCCATGCACTTTTGTGTATTTCGTTTTTCGTTTTTTTTTTTTTTAGATTTTATTTGTCAGAGAGAGCCCAAGCAGGGGGATCAGAAGGCAGAGGGAGAATCAGGGTCCCTGCTGAGCAGGGAGCCCGATGCAGGGCTCGATCCCAGGACCCTGAGCTGAGGCAGTTGCTTAAGTGACTGAGCCACCTGGGCATCCTATTTTTGTCTATTTCTACTGCAGAAATTCCTAGCAGTGGAATTGCTATGTCAAAGTCATGAGTCTTTTTTTTTTTAAAGATTTTATTTATTTGACAGAGCACAGTCGGGGAGCGGCAGGCAGAGGGAGAAGCAGGCTTCCTGCTGAGCAGGGAGCCTGATGTGGGGCTCAATCCCAGGACCCCGGGATCACGCCCTGAACCAGAGGCAGATGCTTAACCGACTGAGCCACCCAGGCGCCCCAGTCACGAGTCTTTTAATTATATACTGCCAAACTACTCCAAAGAGGTTGTACATATTTATCCTTATGCGAACCATGTATGAGACTGTCCTAAATCAGCTCTCTTTCTCTGCCATCTCAGCTGGAAGAACGACTGGAGGAATGGTTGGGGAAGACATTGCCTGGCAGTGACTGGACACCCAATGCCCGGTTCATTATTCGTTCTTGGCTTCGGGATGGCCTCAAGCCACGCTGCATAACCCGAGATCTCAAATGGGGAACCCCTGTGCCCTTAGAAGGCTTTGAGGACAAGGTAAAAACCCTATGCTTTATTCATATGTCATATTATTCTGCCTTTGGGTTGAGACCCTGAGCTAATAGAATAGACTCTTGATTATGTCTTGCTTCATTTGGAGGCTGGGTTGGTGAGGTTCTCCCAGTGTTCCTTCATCCTAGTCTGTCTCCTTCCTCCTGGCCCTCCAGGTATTCTATGTCTGGTTTGATGCCACCATTGGCTACTTGTCCATCACAGCCAACTACACAGACCAGTGGGAGAGATGGTGGAAGAACCCAGAACAAGTGAGCAGTTCTTGGTTAGCCTTTCTGTTGGGAGGGTGCGTGCATTGGGATGGTTAGGGTTGGGTATCTGATCTTCCTTGGGCCTTTGAAGAAGATCTCAGGACCTTTGTTTCCCAACTGTATTCTGTAGGTGAACCTGTATCAGTTCATGGCCAAAGACAATGTTCCCTTCCACGGCTTAGTTTTTCCTTGTTCAGCTTTAGGAGCTGAGGACAACTATACCTTGGTCAACCACCTCATTGCTACAGGTACCCTGGAAGACTGAAGATGGGGAAGTTCCTAGGGAAAGAGGGCTGAGGCAGTATTTGGAAGAAGATCCTGGAGAGGTGCTAGATCTTGAGTTAGGAGTTGAAATGAAATAGGAAGTAATTAGAACATGAGAACTCAACCCGGAAGAAGGGAACAAGAGCCTAAGAAAGCAAAAGCCTGAAGCTAAAATTTTGTAATGGGTAGAAGCAAAGGGCAAAAAGGCTAAAATGGAGAGGAAGAAATCCCCAAATTCTTTGCAGGCCCGCTACTCAAGAAGTGTTGCTGGACACCCATAGTTGAGGTTGAGGGAGAGGAAGAGTTAGTGGGTCAGAGAGGGAAATGTGTGATTTGAGCATATGATTCTCATTCTACTTCTCTGTCCAGAGTACCTGAATTATGAGGATGGGAAATTCTCCAAGAGCCGGGGCGTGGGAGTGTTTGGTGACATGGCCCAGGACACAGGGATCCCTGCTGACATCTGGCGCTTCTATCTGCTCTACATTCGGCCTGAGGGCCAGGACAGTGCCTTCTCCTGGACAGACATGTTGCTCAAGAATAATTCGGAATTGCTTAACAATCTGGGCAACTTCATCAACAGGTGGGACTTGGGCAGGTGGTCCGGGTTGGCAGATGAGCTGGGGGCGGGGCAGGCTGGAGGCTAGCTCTGCTCCACTAGGTGGGAGATGGAAGAGACGGGGGCGCCAAGAAGGCAGGAATGAGCAGGAGCTGTGAGGGATAGGGAGGACAATGTGGAAAGTGGATTTCTATCAATTGGTACCTGATCCTAGAACATAGTAGGATATGTTTGCTTGGGTGAAGTCAGTTGTACAGGTGTGTTTTAGCAAAGTTGGTCACAAAATGAATTTTTGCAAATTGGTTTCTTATTAATGTTCTTTATAGAATTGGAAATGTATTCTCTCGTAGCAAAAAAGTTACTTGCAGACCATTAGACAAGTTTGGCTGAAGAAAGGGATTATTTTAGTTGTAGGGGTAGGAGACGTTTACTGTACTTTGGGGAGTTTTTGTTACTTTAGGCTCGCACTCCATTACTGATCTCCGTCTCAGCTCTTCTGCAGTCTAAAGAAGTATACTCCGTGGCTCCCCAACCCCACCCTTTCAGATTTGGTTGTCAACCGCATTTCACAGATTGTCTCTATTAGAGTACTGGATAGCAAGTTACATATATTTCGACTTGATCGTTCTTTATATTGATTTCTTAAAAATAAAATGGACGTTGCCTAACTTTATCAGGTTTCTTATTCTTAGGGGAGAGAGAGAGAATTTGTTAAGCTTTGCCTTCTAGCTTGAGGGAGCCAGGAGGTACCGGTTCTGAGAGAAAGGAGAATTAGGAGAGTCAGGCCAAATTTCTAGAAGGAGATTGGGCAATAATTCCTCTTTTCTTTTCCCTCTCTTTCCTTACTACCATCAAGAGCTGGGATGTTTGTGTCTAAGTTTTTTGGGGGGTACGTGCCCGAGATGGTGCTTACTTCTGATGATCGGCGCCTGCTGGCCCACGTCACCCTGGAACTCCAGCACTATCACCAGCTGCTGGAGAAGGTTCGGTAAGCAATCTTGCACCCAGGTCTCATCTCAGTGATCTCTGCTGGCATGTTGAGAACCCCATACTGGTCCCTCTGGGACTTTACACCTTGGCCCACCCCCTCCCTTCCCAGGATCCGGGAGGCCCTACGCAGTATCCTCACCATCTCTCGCCATGGCAACCAGTACATTCAGGTGAATGAGCCTTGGAAGCGGATTAAAGGCAGCGAGGCTGACAGGTAAGTTTGGCTACAGGAATAAAGTGGCGGTGGGCCGTGTCCTCCTGGAAAGTCTGACTGTCTCTTCTTCCCCAGGCAGCGGGCCGGAACAGTGACAGGCCTGGCAGTGAATATCGCTGCCTTGCTGTCTGTCATGCTGCAGCCTTACATGCCCACGGTCAGCGCCACCATCCAGGCCCAGTTGCAGCTGCCACCTCTGGCTTGCAGTGTCCTGCTCACAAACTTCCTGTGCACCTTACCAGCCGGACACCAGATTGGCACGGTAGGTCTGAGGGCTGGACAGGCCGGCCTCTGAGCATCCCTGCCCTTGCCATGCAGTCTTTGGGGTGAGGTCAGAGAACTTGGACATAGGACTCTCACGGCTGTTCTCTGAACCCCTACCCCACTCCTCCCCACTGTGCGCTTAGGCTTGTTTCTGATAGGAAGTCCTTGGTATTCGCTCACAAGCTCAGTGTCATCTAGCCCATATGCCATCATCACTCTTCATCCCAGAACCCAAGACCTGGCATGTAAAACTAACTGGTCTAGGGTAGACGTTTGAAGAAACACCACGGTCCCCTGGTCTCCATAATGCTGACAGGCAGTGAGCAGGGAGAATACAGGATAGCCATTTCCTCTTTGACACAAGAGGATAAAGTTAAGTTCACCTCTGTAGCCTTGTGTTAGCCTAGCATCCTTAAAATTGTTAAAGTCTTGGACCTTATTAATACTTTGGCCTTTCAGAGTGAGTGCCAGTGCTTTATCTGGATTCTTTACTGAAATTGGCAGTACATTTGTCTCTTTTTATGTAGAGTTCCTGAATGTCAGTGACTGGGGATAGAGGGGCCCTCTGCACAGTCTGGCAGGGTTTCTCCCTCGTCAGGGCATGATTATGGAATTCTTTCTTCACAGGTCAGTCCCTTATTCCAAAAACTGGAAAATGACCAGATTGAAAGTTTGAGGCAGCGCTTTGGTGGGGACCAGGTGAGAAAGCTAGACTGTGCTGTCACCCAGCAAGAGCCACAGTGTCCTCTCCTCGGTGTCCTAAGTAGTTCTCACTCAGTACTCTCTCCATCTTCCGGTCCTGCTCCTTCCTTCGAGTTGTTCTTCCCTGTCCTAGCAGCAGGAGCCCTTGGAGTGAAAGGTCATCACCGTCCCCTGAGCTGTGAGGTGACACTCGGGGCCGGGGGCATATTTACAGAGCAGGTGGTAACTCTGTTGTCCTTCTCCAGGCCAGAGCACCCCCCACACCAGCAGTTGTAGGGGCTGTGGCAGCAGCCGCCCCACAGCAGGTACAAGTGCTGATGGACGAGGTGACAAAACAGGTACGCAGTGGAAGCCCCGGGGGAGAGCGGAAAAGCCGAATCTCAAATAGGCTCTTTCTGGTCTCACTGCTGTTCTTCCCCGACCTGCTCTGCTCTTAGGGTAACACTGTCCGAGAACTGAAGGCGCAAAAGGCAGACAAGAACCAGGTTGCCGCCGAGGTGGCTAAGCTCTTGGATCTGAAGAAACAGTTGGCTCTAGCTGAGGGGAAACCCCTTGAAACCCCTAAAGGCAAGAAGAAAAAGTGAAAGTGAGAAACTGGCTCATAGAAAGTGACTTTAATGGATACGACAGTAATAAATAAATGTACAATCTCTATATACATGCTGAGACCCTTTCCTGTTGTCTACCCCGAGCTTCCCCCACTCCTGACTAGATGGGGTTGAGGGTCCCATCACTGGCACTGGAGGAGATGCTTGGCAGCCACTTTTGTGAACGGGAGGTAGTGGCCTGAGGGGGAAGCGATGGTCCCAACTGTTCATGCTTGGTGCAGATTAACCATTCGGTCAATGAGAGCTCGGCGAGTCGCCTCTACTTCCCTGGTCAGGCGCTCGATTTCCTGCTTGAGCCGTTCATTCTCTTCAGCTAGCTGTGTCACTTTCCTCTCATTCTCTTGTTCTTTCTCCTTCATGCGTTGCTTTCCAGCCCCAGCTGGGGACTGGCCACTCTGTTTCCGTTTCCTGGGTCTTCTGTGGTCTTCCTCCTCTTCCTCCTGAGCCAGGGAGCTCTGACTGGAATCTGGAGAGCAAGGGCTCTGGGAGGTGTTCGTGACCTCTGCTGGTCCTGGCTCCTCAGTCAGCCAACCCAGAGAGGCAGGGTCAAGAGTGGTGAAGGTTTTTGATTCTTCCTTCAAGGGAATGAGGAAAGGTAGGGTGGATATTAGTTGAGAAGGGAAGGGCAGTTACCCCCCCACCCCAGCTTTAGGCATAGCATTCTCACCTCCTTGTTTCCAGGGGGTGAAACATAGGTACCCCCATTTTCATCTGAGGACAGCACCTCTTGCAGGTCCTCATACCAGGCTTCCAGCTCCCAGCTGGACAGTGTCCCGAAGGAAAAAGGCAATGACTCAGCTGCCATGTCTGCAGTTGGATCAGGCTCTGGAAAAGGACATACTCAGGATGGGGGGTCGGGTGGGAGTGGAACAACTCCACAAAGCAGTCAGATCATCTATACAGGTTGGCAAACTGGCCTGGTACCTGTTTGCAGATAAAGTTTTATTGGAACATAACTACATTCGTTTATTTACATACTGTTTACGGCTGCTTTCATGCTGTAAGAGTGGAGACCTCAGCATCCAAAATATTTACTGTTTGGCCCTTTAAAATGTATCAATTGGTCTATACTAATCTTCCCTCTGCTGCTTTTGCCTGGCATTTGAAGAAGCATGGGTCTAGAATATACATTCTTAAGGGATCCTGGTAAAAGTCCCCAGCCTCTCTTGAGGAACTCTGTTGGTAGTTTCCAGGGGGCAATTACCAGACCATCTTGTGTTCCTTTCCCCTCTGTGTGGGCAGGCCTTTGGGTGAGTCTAACCTTGATGGGGACTGAGGTCTGGTAAGACCAACCAATTACCTTTGTTGGGGCTGACTGCTCACTCATCCAGCTTTCAATTAGGACGTGCTCTAAGAATAGTGATTTGGTCACCCAGTTAGGGGCAGGCCAGGAAGATGGATGTGGTCTGTCAGGAAAGGCTGCTCAAATTCAAACCCTCCTCTCCTGTCTTCTCTAGGTGTTTTCATAACTTATTAGGACCCCAGTACAAGGACCCTAAGCAGCATCTCGGAACTGGTTTTGGGAAAGGGATGGTGAAGTTTACCTGCTCTCAGGTGTGGTGATGTATGAAGATACACTTCCTTCTGGAACACTGTGGGGATCAAAGATAGATGTTAGCCATTTTTGGAAGGGAGGCAGGCAGCTCCTTTTATCTCCAGCCTCCTGTTGGTCTTTCCTCATTTCCTGTCTTACAGGGTGTGGATAGTCAGTGGTCCTTGCAGCCATTTCCAAGGACAGAGGAGAGCCTGACCTTTATTTATTTATTTATTTTTTAAAGATTTTATTTATTTGACAGAGAGACACAGAGAGGGAACACAAGCAGGGGGAGTGGGAGAGGGAGAAGCAGGCTTCCCGCTGAGCAGGGAGCCCGATGCGGGGCTCGATCCCAGG